CCCCAAAACCCCAAAACCCCAAAACCCCAGCTCTCAATATTAAATTAGAATATTAAGTTAGCAAATATTTCAATCATTATGAAATAATTCTGAATTGATAATTATCGTTTAACACAATAAGTTTTATCATTTAGCTAAACTAAGCTGATTATGTTAGGAATTTCATTCAACTTATGTTTAAGTTTCAGGTAAAGTCTCAGAAAACTAGGCATTTGCCTCTTCCTCCCTATCTATATCTTTAGAAGAAGCTATATGATTTTACTTGTCCTAATCCTTATCTTAGCTTACAGCTTCATCTGAAACTTCTTACTAAGATAATTATTGTTGCACTGATTAGCTTGATGAACTTGCAGAATTCTCAATAGAGTATCTTCTCTCAAACTCCTCAGTGAAGTAATTTACTGTCAAGTCATCGAAATTAGTAAATCTAACGTGCTTTAATGTAGCATTGGATGATGGATAACTCTAGCTGAAATCCTCAGCTGCCCTAAAGAAAGTAGAGGCACAGAGATCTCTTGGAAATCCAAATATTCCAGAAGATATTGCTGGTAAGGATACTGATTAACATTTAATCTCATCTGCTGTTTTAAGTGTGTCCCTCACACAATCATACAATAATTATTCTTCACCTCTCTTACCCTACAAATTAATTATATAAAGACCAAAGAGTAGTAAATAATGTCCATTCTTACATTGTGCCAAATAGGACCAACAGCGTGGATGACATACTTGCAATTCTTCATATTGCCAGAGCTTGTTACAGCTCTACCTGATCCAGTTGGGGCTCTTCCTTTTTCCTTTACCCACTTATTACATTCCTTTTAGATATTCCTATAGGTTAATTATAATTCAATATATTGTATTACGGCCCTCCTTTTCTGTCTATAGCTCCTGCAACCCCTCCTCCAAGTGATAGATATTCATTGGCAGCATTTGTGATGGCATCTACTTTTTCACTTGTAATATCTCCTTTATTTACTGATACATGCAGCCATTCATTTAAAATAACTTAATAATCTCCTACTATCTACCACTTTTACTTCTGCTCTTAAGAAGATTACTCCTCCTTCGAGGATTATCGATCGAATATAATTCCATCATCATTTTCGAAATATTCCTCCATTTCTTGTTAAAAATTTTCTCCTTTCTTTTCCTCTTCTTACTATTATTGCATGGGTTTAGAGTCTGATTATTCTTGATGATTCAATGGGTTTATTTATGCATTTTATTCCAAGTTTTAACTTTAAACTTCTTCATTGTGATCCAAATCTTGAGGTTGAATAATCTGTTCTTGATTTTCACTCATTTTTTTTAAATTTATTAATATTAATTTTAATTGGCTTTTTCATCGATACTAATAGTTAAAAATTATAAAGATACTCGGGGTTTTGGGGTTTTGGGGTTTTGGGG